TCATAACTTCATGCCATGTCTTAGTTTGACCACCCTTGGCGTTTTTGCAACCGCTACGTTGCTCGGCAAACATCGCTCACCGTGCAGCCTATCTAGTAACATGCATAGCACATGCCCCAACCAACATGATCTATGCAGGTCGATCACTTGCTCCAGTGGACGACCGTGACTGCCTAAAACTCTGCGCCGAATCTCAGCATTGATCGTTCGGTTACCCCACCAAACTTGTGCATTGCGACGTAGACTGAAATCACAGAAGACATACTGAAGACCACTAACAATCAAATATATTAATAGGATTTTGACTAGATCAGAGTGCATCTGCAGAATATTAATAGAAGGGAGTTTCCGACTGTAATAGATTTCATGATATATATTTTAGATCTTGCTTACCTGATACAAATGACCATTATTCGTACGGATCACCGGTCATACAAGTGCGTGCAAAGTTTTTCGGTGAATGAAACCGATACAAGTGTACAACATTGTACATGCACACACCCCATCCTCGAAACTGGTATGCCAACTGTGACATTTTGCCACAGGAACGCGCAGCTCTAGTGAATCAGTGAAGCAGATGCAAACAAATCAACGAAGTTTCGGTACGCCAAGCAATTTCGGGACGTGAATCGGTTATTCTAAGGACAAATATAAATTCACAAGACGGTGCAGGGACGAGAATAGTTATTTATCATGAATAACTATCAGGGTATCGGTGAATCGGCATTCATACAATAAAATGTCTCATTTGGAACAATCTTCGAAATTACCACACACACTCAGGATAGTAAATGAAACAGTCAATCAGTAGATGCAAATTTCTGTAGTTACCGTGCTGAACAGATCAATTTGCTCCAACAGGTCTTGCTCATTTTTGATCGTTGTAAAAAATCCGCCAACAGCACCGTTTTGCATACTACTCATAAATGTGAGTAGTACCTCACAACACCGGTAATACTGCAACGAATCCACCGTCACCTCATGCAGATGGATCGTTAAAAGACGGTGACACCAGTCGGACAACATAACAGTGGGATAAGCTACACGTATGAGATTTTTTATGTGATAGCGAAAACGAAAGACCCACAACGCGGTACTCCTACGTAGAGTTATTTTTTCTACAATCACGTGAAGATTATGAATCCCTTGCCAAATACGATCTCCGGAAATCCATATTTCTTGATAAGATCGATAATTTCGTGATTATATCCAACAAAGGTGTTCCCATTAGAAACAGAACAAAAGGAAACCATTACATTCTATCAGGAGGTTTTGAACTCCCGGACACATGCAGCCAAAACAAAGCAACCTGATGGACAACACAATGGTACATAGGGGTTTGATATTTTTTGGACGACAATAAAATGTGTACTATCAAATTCCATTCCCAGAATAATGAGTTAAAACTACAGACCAACCGCAAAACCAAGAATTTCCCATGAATGCATATCGCAAAATTATGACGCCCACCGGTGGAATCAGATGCTACCTACCTGTATGTATGCTTTCTCACCGGATTTCTGTCCACACTTTAACCTGATTTACTGCCGCATTAATCATGTTCTGTCATTATCTCCGCCGACCAATCGGTCTTATGACGACATCTATATCAATGGAAACCTTCGTCCCCAATGGAAAATCTCAGACAGCTAGGTCACCACCATAGCGTCGTCAATTTCAAGTCGTGACAGCGTTCTGTTCAAAAATCTAAAAAAGAACATTCATAGTTCAAGAGTTTAAGGGCCACACCACAAAATAGGGAATCGAATCTGGCTCTATTACTTCTCGACCTCCGTTGAGCACAAACTCAAAATTCCACAGACCACTTCGAACCCATATAACGTGGCGTTGATTCGATCTTGTACGCGTTTATTAAATCTCTTACCATTGGTCGGATCTATTAACAGTTGGCTACAACCAGTTAAATTTGGTGACCCACAGACGGATGATATGGACTTCACAGACAACAAATACTGTCTCTGTTTATCCCAATAATGCAGTAGGCGATCAAGGTTCCATCTTCCGGGGGGGGGGGGGGGGNCCGGAACAACTGACTATCACTGAACACAGTACTTCGTCAACAGATGAGCGATGCAATAGGTTGAAAACTGTATCAAGTGGTCTGAACAGACAGTCAATGATATGTTTCCCTTTCCGTTCCCTAGCACAATCAACCGGACTGAGCTACCATCGGGGAGTGATGGAATAACACAGAGGAGAGCCACAATCGTTACCTGTGACGGAGAATAATTGAATGAATATTCTTCCCTTCAAATTTGTATATTGATTATTTTTGTGATAATATATGGTAATATATTAGCCCCGTTCGCCTTCTAATTTTACTGTTGTTTGATTTGCCATGTTTTGATGTGACCCAACAAAACTTATCGCGCTGTGTTGTATGTCAGATTTGTCGAGCTGTGCAAACAATCTCAGCTAAAACGAAGTCGCTGTCACCGACCCGCAATTGTGCGGTTTGAAAAGGCATTCCTTTATGTTCTGCCTAAACACACGGCCGACACGAGCATCCCTTCCTTAGGCCCCAACAATAATACGGGAGAGAGAACAAGACTGGAGAACAACAGTCTCAGAGTATATGTTCTGATCATGATGCAATGTACAAACCGACGTACGGGAACGATCTGGTGACGCACCAATCAGATCGCTTCCTTGATATTCCGATTGGTCAACGGGACGACAGCTATCTGATTGGTCCTAGTAATCCAATCCGGAGTCGGTTCACCTTGGGCGTCGCAGACTTGCTCTTATGATGTGACGCGGATCTGTGCTCGGCTCGACGAGTTCTGTAAACTCCGTTCCATCACACCAGGTCCACTGTAAACTTAGCTCAACTTCGTGATGTCAATAGAGATGAAACTTTCTGTATTCTTTAATACAACTTCAGTGAGAACGACTATAGACTGATGAAACTCTACTCTCTACCACTTGCGAGGATGATTAACTTATCCAAATAACTGCAAATACAATTTTGTAGCGAACCAATTACGCAGGGAGGAGAGTTACAATTTTCCGAAATACAATAGGGGTCTGTGGATTTAGGTGGAAGATAAAAACTTCACTCATGAAAGAACACTTTGGGGCTACGATCATTCATGCGATATGTGATGTTTCACTCTCATTTCGATGATCAATTTATTTCACCGGTGATTTCTCTCCGCTTTTTGATAATCCCAGAGTCTGCCGTACAGTTGTCTATCAGTAGTTCCTTCCAAAATCTCCGTGGATTGCACAAGTGTTTTGTCTCGTAGAGCTTGGGATGGAATGTTTTGGCAAGATTCATATTGTTGTTTGCAATGCTTCCTCCTCGAAAGTATCTCCGTTGTTGTTGTTGTTGTTGTTGATGGTGATTGTGGTGATGGTGAATTTTCCCATAAGAAATCCGAGGTACAAGCTTATGCATTGTACGAAGCTTTCAATCATACCACTTCCCTCTTACTTTCTGGAATGAAAATGAGNCATACGCACGTCTAAGCTACAGTTCAATTGGGTCACAACATGTGCAATTCCACCACACCTGTCATAGTAGTCAAATGCAGATAGTAAAATCGCTTTTGTTTTCCTGTTCCCTATTTTAGCCATGCCTGAAGACGATACACACGTTTCGTATCATCGTTTTGACTCCTACGAATTCTCGGCCAAACGACGACGACGGATGCATCGGCTTGGTTTCGTCAACTTCGTTCTTGCCATAGTTCTTGTTGTTTTCGGAATTATGCTGATCGGCGCGCTGGTCTCTCGCGCCTGGTATCACAATCGGTTTTGGCCCTACGATAACAATCCGTGCACTGATCTGCACACCAACTGCCCGTTACTGCTTATCAGTATGGACGGATTTCGTCACAACTATCTGGAAAATGTGCGAGCCCGTTACGGCCCGAATGCATTGCCCAATTTCAATCGACTGGAGCGGCACGGGGTGCGTGCCATGCAATCAGTCGGTGCCTATCCGACGATGACGATGCCGAATCAGCATACCCTGGTCACCGGTTTGTATCCGGAATCGCATGGAATCGTGGCCAACAATATACGTGATACCAAATGGCCAAACGTGATATTCGAAATGTACAATCAAACCAGTTTGAACGAAGCCCCTTGGCTGGAGGGCTGGCCGGAACCGATATGGGTCACTCTGCAACGCACGGGTCGTCGTGTTGGTTCACTCCTTTGGCCGTTCACCGACGGCACGGTTCACGGGGATTTGCCGTTTGTTCAAGTCTCCCAATTCACTCTATTGGATGACACACCCACACCATATCCGTACAAAAAACGTGTGACCGATTTGTTGTGGTGGTTGGACAATCCCTATTACCAACTGGATTTGATATTGGCCTACTTTGAGGAACCCGATAAATCGGGACATATTTACGGTCCGGATAGTGAAGAAGTTGCCAAACTGGTGGTGGAACTCGATCAGCGGGTCGGTCAGCTCCTGGACGGTTTAGAAAAGAAAGGTTTGGCCAATAAGGTGGATATTATTGTCACTGCCGACCATGGTATGACTCGGATTACTAATGTGATCTGCCTGGACGATTATGTGGATCCGGAACTGTACACACATACACAACTGTCGACTCTGGGCTTCCTCTATCCCAACGCAGGTTAGTGGTTTTCGCGTGCTCCGCGAGAGACGCTTATTCGGAACAGTTCCGTAGAAGACGTGATATAACTGATCAGTAAAGAGAAGAAGCCAATGTTTAAGATGCAAATCTTCTATTCATGTACCGTCACGAATATCGGACTAGGAAGATGTGAATTGTGAGTAATTCACAAAGAGTAAAGCCAACCGTGTAGGCAGCATAAAGATGATGTAGATTCCTTACAAGTTTTGCTGTTAATGACTTACATCGTTGATATTGGTCTCCCTTTTACTCTAAAAAATAGATATTTTCATTGATTTGAACTGACCCTCCTTCAGACTTCACCTTCACGCACATTCGCCAACCCTTCCAGTCGACCATACACTCGGAAGTACTAGACTCGAGTTTTGCTGTTATTAAAGTTCATCAGTATTGCATACCACCGTCCCACCATCTGGGATTTGAACTCCGGACTCATCGCATGGAGGGCATGTGGGTTACCACTGTGCCAACCAGATCATGCCATGGCTGAACCAAATTGCCGTTTCATGTTTGTTCAGGTGTTGTCTTCAGTGATAGTCAGTCAGTTCATTTGGCCCGACAGCAACAAAGGAAGACACAGATGACAATCAATCAATAGCAATTATCCCACACACACACACTACTCAGAAGTAATCGTGAGTCAAATGCGAATAGTTCTGTTTTTGCAGAGAAATCACGTTTTAGTCGCATCATCTTTTTTAAAACAGAATTGTGCCCTGCTCGGGTCAGAACGTACTGTTAGACGAGTATTCAAGAACCGTTTGATTTGACTGCACGATGAACAGGACATATTGTTGTGCTGAACCCGTGTCATCGAATGGATAATGCACTATCGTGAATGGTGCGGAACCGCATTGTGTTGAACGGGGGAACAATATTTGTGCTGTCCTCATGGCAGATACATGTAACTTTCTGTTCTAGCCGTGCCCTCAATAGCTTCTCTTCGAAATCCTTTTGGCTCCGTCCTTGAAAATCAACTCACAACATCAGATCCGATAGCAGCATACACTGTAGGAGGATAAACTCTATCTTTTACTATCAATAAATTGATTCCTTTTAAGCAAGTGCTCCTTCGATCTCAAGAGCTTCATAATTCTCGATGCGCGCCTTTCGTTGGAAATTGACCATCAAAAGGAAACTTTATCCATCGCTGTGCATTTAGATTACAGTTATTTCAGTTTTTACAACCATTAAACACGCACTTTCGTGCGCCGGTTTTGGTTGCCGAATCGGATAGAAGAGCAGATTGAAGATTGGAATGTTGAAAGCAAATTCAAGCGGAAAATACAGAGCTCATACAGACTGGTATTAGGGAAATAATGAGTAGATGCATGAGCGCCACTGTTTGTGACAGCCAGCCATATCACTCACTGTCTCTAACAAATCGGTGAGCATCATCTCAAGGTCTCCAGCCAGGTAGCCTGACGGGACCTATGTGACCCAGTCTCCTGGTTAGGGTTTTCACACACTCATGTCAGGTCTTGGTTTGATCACCCTTGACCTTTTCCAGCAGCTCCCTGCCCCGGCGAACATCGATCGCCGTGGCAACCTATCTGGTGACATGCGTAGCACACACACCAACCAACCTAATCCATGGAGGTCGACTACCTGCTCCGGTGGACGCCCGAGACTACCTAAAACCCTACCCCACCAGACTCGCAGTGCGACGTAGATAGCGGTGTTCGAACACCGACAATCCATTTTTATCTTATTCACATAGTGGCCAGGTCTCTGCACCGTAGAGCAGCACTGGCCGAACTGCTGCAGCATGTACTCGATCCTTCACAGACAGCCGGATGTCGCGACAACGCCACAGATGTCTCAAGTTAGCAAATGCCAACCGAGCTTTCTGTATGCGCGCTGACACTTCATCCGTGATGCGTCCACCGGGTGAGATACAGATGCCCGGATAGCAAAATTTGTCTACTTCAGGATAAGGATCGGTGCTGGATCAACCCAATCTTGTAACAACAGTTTACACTCTGAAGGTACAAAGCGTACAGCGAATATGACTACACTGGCACTTAAACGATCCAGAAGAGCTTGCAACATGCCTGGATCTTCACTTAGTAGCACAATGTCGTCTGAATACTCTAGATGAGTATACGGTTAATCAACTCTAGTCTGAATGCGATTTTAGTATACAATGAAATCGCCCACATTGTAGTCATTCGCTTTTCAAAGAAGGCTGGCCAATATTAGAGAAACAGTATTGTACACCGAATGTGACTAAAAGCCGACTGAGTATCGTCCACGAAAGTCAAATCATCGGATTGCACTGCTCATATTAGTGAGTACTATGTTCGGTGTACGAAGGATAATGACGATTGGGGAATTCTCACGGTATTCAATAATGAACAAGGGGTTTGGGAGCAGATCAGAGGATTTGGTATTAAAGCTACAGAAGAGGCTAGCAGACTTGGATGGCTGTCTGGTTTTCACCGGCAATACCTAGTTCGAGCCGACTACAGGCGCGAGTAGCGAGACCAACAAACTGGACGAAGTCGTCGAATTTTCAATTGACAACCATTGGCAACGTGAATGGAAACGAGAGAATCGCGAAAACAAATGTGAGCGAGGGTATCAATGGTGGGAGATAAATTTAGGGGAACGGAGTTCATTCGGGAAGATGAAATAGCATTAGCAAGTGTGCGCTAGGTGAACGAATTTCCGGAGAAGTTCGGTTCAGTTCTTACAAACATTAAACATGCACTTTCGTGCGCCGGTTTTGGTTGCCGTCCATTGGTCGCCCATTTGAATAAACACAGCAGAATGAAGATTAGAATGTTGGGAGCAAATTCAAGCGGAAGATGGAGAATACACAGACTGGTGTGAAGAAACTAATGAGTAGACGCATGAGCGGCACTTTTTGCGACAGACAGCCATATCGGTGACCTTGGTATTGGGGTTCACAGCCAGAGAACCTAACGGGCCTGTGTGACCCAGTCTCCTGGTTAGGGTTTTCATACCTTCATGCCAGGTCTTCGTTTGACCACTCTTCACCTTTTCCTAACCGTTACCTGTCTCGGCAAACATCGCTCGCCGTGGCAACTTATATGGTGACATGTGTAGCACATATCCCAACTAGCGCAATCTATGAAGGTCGACTACTCGTTCCAGTGGATGACAAGAGAAGTGAGCAAAACATTGTCGTCCCCGTGGTTGGCCGCCGATTCAACCTTGAAAACGTCCTCCTAGCATTTGCACCAAGAATCCAAGATGACATCAACAGCAGGATCGTGCCAGACCTCAGTCATCGAGCGGGTGTAGTGGTTTAGTGACGGGAGGTCATTGAAGGGAACAGGCTGGCCTAGCATGCTGATCCGCCCGGAAAGAGCCTCGATCATCGTGGCTTGCGGCTGAATTAGCATTCACGATCCCATCCTCTTCGCAAATACACACTGTAAGGATCACAAATAGAACTACCGAGCGATAGGACAACATCCCGTACATCGCAGCATAGCAAAGGAGACAATTGTCCGCATTTCCCAGGGCAAGAACAGTGTACGCCAGACTGAAACACCTTTGGTACCGATTCGCTAATTCCTCGAAGCTGAAAGGTCGCACATACTGCGCCATTGTGCGGTCAGTCTTGTTTTGTATTGTATTGTAATAATTTTTGTAGGTAAAAAGCCTACATTTCAGTTAAAAACATACACGTTGGAGCGAGGGAGACAATAAAAAAATAATTATGCAAAAAGGTATTTAAATCCCAAAACTGTTAACAAAGTCTGTGAAAGCTTATTCTTTGTTAACTAGAATTCATGCTAAAGAGGGTACTGTAGAGTTACGATATGTTTATTCGAGAGGGAATACAACGGTATTGGGATCTAGTTTAAGGATGGGAACAACAGAAAGTTAGGTCAGCGTGTAACGGATGTGTGGAATCGATGAGAATCTTATGCGTAAACTTCTCACATGCATTCAAATGACGTTCGCATAGATTAGTTATCAACTCCTTTAGTGGGATTGAAAAGACACGGCTAATGATGGTCAATCCAAGTCGAAGTTGAAAATAATTGATTGTGGAATACGAAACTGAGGAAGTTTAAGGATATGAAAAGAAAGTCGTCGAAACTTACTGACGATGTGTTGAATGTGAGAGGTTCAGTGAACATTGGTATCAATAAAAACGCCCAGGTATTTAATACAGTTTACCCGGGATACTGGTTCGGAGCCAATCGATACCGGTTCAGATGGGAAAGAAGAGCGTGATAGTGTAAAGAGACATTATAAACATTTGGAGAGATTAAGAAATAGACCCGATGTGGCGGAAAACCGTTGGACGTTATCTAATCTGTCAGAAAATTGTGAAAGACCAGAAGAGTCCGAGATGGCCTGACAACAAAACCACATCGTCAGCGTATTTGAAGAGAAGTAGGGGTGCTATCGGACAAGTCACTAATATACGTAGAAAATAAGTATGTGGGCAAGAGCTGCACCTTGAAGTACCCCATAATTGTTCAACAATGGTTTGGATTTCTTCCGACCTAACCTGGTACATTGAGTTCTCTCGGAGAAGTAATCGTAAAGCCAAGCTAATAACTGTCTAGGACAAACAAAAGTTTGCAGTTTACGAAGGGAACGGGGAATAGAATCAAAAACAGATGAATAGTCCAGAAACACACAACGAACAGATTTCGCAGTCATTCAAGGATTTGGTAATTTTATGTACTGGAGAGGAAACTGCATCTGTTTGATTTATAGGAAAACTGAAGAGGATCATACGAGACATTAAGTGAGGACTGAATGCGCGTAAGAACAACACGTTCTGCTAGTTTAGGTCCAACAGAAGTTAAAGCGACAGGGCAAAGGCGTCTGGTTAGAAAGTTTTACGGTTGTGAGTGAGACCCTAGATTTACGTATGAAAGAAAATCATCATTTTGAAGTCTTCGACTGTCATTGTCTAAGTGCTATAAATCCACATAACGAGTGCCGGACTGAACGGGATTGTCTATCGGAAAAACAACAACGACAAGGGCAAATCGGATCAAACAGAACGAAACATGTGATCTGCAGCAGTTGGTTTGTAGTTTCCTGACAGGCTCTTGATCAGTGTTCAAACAATCCGAAAGTTGATTAGCCTCGTCTTTATTTTCAACAGCAAATCCTCTGATCCACTCCCAGATGCTTTATTCATTGTTAAATGTTGTATGAAAACCCCAACCAGCCCTAACTGCACGCACCGAACATGGTACTCCCCAATGTGAGCAATACCTTACAACATGGATATTCTGGAGCGGGACTGAATGGAACCAGTGTGTAAGAAATACTGAGCTAGGGCGATGAGTATTAGGTAACGATTCGGTGGACAATTCGTTATCATATCGAATTCAATACGTTTCACTGGTTCGGATACGTTTTGCATATACTCAGCTGTTTCATGCCACAAACCATCTCTTAGTTGCAGTGACCGTTCTAGGTTGAACAGAACAACAGATGAAGTGGAAACGAAGCTGAAAGAAATGCACAGAGTGACTAGGTCAAGTGGAGTTTCTCCCCACTTCCCGGTTGGGATCCAAAAGACTTTGGAACCATTGGGTTGGAGATACCGAAGGATATACCAACTAACCAAATGGCAATTAACTAATCCATCTTGTTGCTATTTCCTCTCAGATCAGAATGCTTGAAAAGGCATGTATGCGCAGTCAAACTTTGTGTGTTGACCATAGAGGTTCGATTTCTTTGCTCCCCTGCCCCTTCAGTTTGGCTCAATCCGTCTTTTTTTACATTCATATTCACCTCATGTACATAATGAGCTTCGTAGCGATCAACAAAGTTCGCTTCACTGCATATTTCTGTACAATGACGACTAACAACGGTTTTTTATTACACACCAGTGTGTGATGGACAGCAGATGGGATGGAGCCCGATAGTCCCGAAGACCTGCTGTTAAATGATGGTAAACGACAAAACTAAACACCGAGATTTGGAGTGGCGAACTATATAAGGCCGAGAGCAAAGCTGTCTACCACCAAAGTTGAGTGGCGGTGCTGGAACCACAAGATCCAAAGCATGCCGGTGACCAAGACTAAATCACTGCGCAACTACCAACGATAAACGCTTGCATAACACAAACTCATAACACCCAGACAACTGAAGCTTTCCAAATTTGAGAGAACGCAAAATTTTCCCTTTACGTTCTTGTTTACTTCTCGTGTAAACATAGTCTTTTCGTCAGTAAAGACAATCAAGAGAATCGCAAATGAAGTCATTCAAAGCGAACATATCACACAAGGGAAATGTGCGTCTTTCCACTGTTGTCCAATTACATCGGAGAAAAAATTGTGTAGATGGACTCCAGACGGAAATTGGTTTGAGGATCCGATGCACTGTTTCAATCGATCCAGTCGCAGTGTGTTTCATATATTAATTAGCCTGACCAAACTTAAGATTACACTGCAAATAATCTCAGTGTTTTTTCCTTGTCGCACTGTGTTCTCAATCTGGTTACACTTATTTCCGAAAACCGATTCACCGTCTAGTCTGATCCTTGTGTTACCCTCAGGTCAGGGGTTATCAGAAAGCCACACGATCATCGGATTCGGATTCGGTTTCTTTTCCGCACAAGATTAGTGGGCGTGTACGTGTATCGTGAGGAGCACAGCTTCGCTGAAGGTGAACAGGTTTGGAATTGGATTCGGTAACAGTATTGTAACGGATAGATAATAAGATCAGATCAGCCGTGTGACTTGTGATGGACAATCCAGGCAATCACAAGATACTCGGCTCGGTCGACTGGGAAGCCTATCCTAGCGAGAGATCACACATCGGACCTGAACTCTCAACTCTCTCACTGGTACGCAACCTGATTTTGGGACCGATTCAGTCTAATTACGTTTGTCTCTCATCAGGAGTCCATTGTTGTGCGCATCCATACATGGGATGACTGTGTTTATCACTACATACTGTCCGGAGACAATGTACTCTACACTATCATACATTGTACATCGAACAGCACCCATCCGAATGTATCTCAGTAAATCACTGATCACTGTAACTGGCAGATGCACATACAAGTGACACGATGCTCTCCCTGCTGGCCAGTGCTGACTTCCCACCCACCCCCCACCCCTACCCCCGTTTTCTTGATATGCGAACAAACCATCACAATTTTTGCATCGTAACACCAGAGGAGATCCTAAATCCTACTGGCGCATAAAACTGGACGCATTTTAGGCGTTAGACTTTTGTGGGACTTAGAAACCTGATTTACTCAGTTTGGGTTAGAAGGAGAAAACCTATCGCTTTTTGATAACCCTGAACCCAGAGAGGATCAGTTGTTCAGTTGTTCACATGCGCATTGAGCTCAATTTTTTTTAACTCGAATGTGCTTCTGGTTAGCAAGGAAGAGAAGATGTCACCAGGCCGACAACTAATACAAATATGTAAAACATCCTTTTCCCTTTATCCATTTCATTAACAACAGAAGACATATGTGGGCTGACATCGTTTGGTTTAGTTCACCCCATATCAAATTTGCTCATCTTAATTGACCTCAACCCCTAACCAAACACAAATCACTCGACTCATTAGTCCAATACTTTGTTCAAATGACTCATTTCAACTCTTATGCTTCTTCGTTTCACATGATCATATAAATGTGCGTTTACAGCTGAATGAGAGGACGCGAAATTGATGGCCAATATCAATTCTGCCCACATATGTTTTCTGTTATTGATAATACACATATAGGGAATGAAACGATACGACAGGGATTCGAAACGACGACAAACCTAGAGATGATAACAGTGCGTACAACCAAAACGGAAAAGCAACTTTGAAGTATTGACAAACTGTTTTTTTTTCTTTTTTTACAACTTCTGCATAGCCACAGAGCTCAAGATCACATGGTTTCACCTGAAAAGGCAGGGGTTGAGCCGTCCCAGACACAAGTCCGATCAGTATCAGTTTGAACAACAATACACTCTTCCACCCAGCCATCTCCATCTGTCCAACAGGATGAGGAACACGTGAATAACAAAACAGTGGTGATGCGTAACAACCAATCCTTGTCAATCTGGTCCGGTTCGGGCAACTGAAAATCAACACGCTCATCATCCGTTTGTTCAATCGTGGGTAATAGGGATAGGCGATTATTGAGAGTTGGGAACAACTGAAGTTCAAACACACGATTTGCCCCGCAACGTGTACACTTTAACCGTGTAGCCAGTTCTTTCGGAGGGGGACCATTGAACACCGGTCGACCAGACCACCAGTAGCGTATTTCTTCGCATCCATGTTCGCCTCGTGTCGCCAAGTGTAATTCGAGTCCACCAGAAAACGCATTTGGGATCGCATTGTCATCCTCTTCGATGAATTCCCGTTCGACAGCATCTGCTCGGCTCCAGGCCGCGAAGTTTGATGAATCTACTGATCCTGTGGACAGCTTATCCTCGTTCATCGACTCTTCTCCACCGGTATCTAAACCCTCCTCGTACACATCAACGTGACAGCAAACGAACGGTCCTTTTAAGACAATCGATTCCGGTTGTTTCGTTAGTTCCTACGGTGGGAATGAAAGATATGATTCTGGTGAAGTTCATACCAAAAATTAACATGGTTAGGAGGGGGGACAGGGCAGTTTATTCATATCAGAAAATGGAGCCGAGACAAATGACACAGAACGGTCTTTTTGTGGTTTTCATTGGTGTGGATCAAGAAGGAGGATACAGACCACTACAACACTCTGTGTAGTATTGAAAATAACTTCGGTTTCGGGATATATCTGCTAGTATCTCCAACCGACAAGTTTTACAGTCCTTGCTCCAATCAAGTTAACGACAAAGCTCTGTTGAGGCTAAATTGTTCGTCCATGGTGTCCCATCCGTGTCGTTTGCTGTCCTCTAGGTAGCCTCTTTCATCACTGTCCGGTAAGCGCAAAATGAACGATGATGCAAACGCAGGACAGTCAACCGCAGAACGCGACCTGGCCGCCATGATCGACAAAGTGAGATGATACTTTTAGATGGTGTAAGTCAGCTCCACTGGTTCACCGTCGTACTGCCCCAACCAACGTAATCTATGGAGGGCGACCACAGCTACAAAAAAACCTGCGCCTAACCTCAGCATTGCTCGTCTGGCTGCCCCACCAGGTTCGTGCAATGCTGCGTAGACAGCGGTGTTCAAACACCGACAGTCTGTCTTTATCTTGTTTTCTTAATGGCCAAGTTTCTGCACCGTATAGCAGGANTGTATGCGAGCTGACACTTCATCCGTGATGCGTCCACCGGGTAAGATGTAGCTGCCTAAGTAACAAAACTTATCCACTTGCTCTATTAATTCCCCAGTTAGAATGAGGCTGGGTGCTGGACCAACTCAGTCTTATGGTAATATTTTACACTTTGAAGGTGCAAAAGCATACCGAAAACGGCTAAACTAGCACTCAAACTATCCAGAGAAGCTTGTAACTTACCTGGATTTTCACTTAGTAGCACAATGTCGTCTGCATATTCTAGATCAGAAATCCTGCCATCTGGGAGTAAATCGATATCACTACTGCGCCATTACTGATATGGGACTGCCACCATACGTACCCAATGATTCGTAGTCATCGATGACCAAACT